TATGAAGTAAGCTTCAAATACTTCAGAGCTAGCCACCTCCTTTACTTTGATTATTTAGTAATCTACACCGTGTTTAATATATCCATTGTGTTGAATTTATTTTGATTAAAGACAAAGTGGAAAGGCTTTTATCCCATCAACTCTTTATATCTTAATGGAATGCTCTCTAATTACTCTTTTTAGAAACCTTAAATAGTGACAAAGTGTAAAGGGATGGAGCTATAGTGGATGCCATAGTGATTCTGATATATAATCCAGTTTAAGATGTTATTTGTGCTTTTTCCTGTTTCCCCTTCAAATAAAAAGTGTTGTTGTGGTTATTTTTGTAATCTTTCCTTAAACTTCTGTCGTTTATCAATTCTATTTTAGCAAGGTTACCAAATTCTGGATTACTCTTGTTAATTTAGGAATGTGAATAAATTCCCAAGCGTTTATGTATAATCTCTGTTTACCTGTTGCTACAGACAAGGAATGTTGATTCTAGAAAGAACTTAGGTGAACTTCCAGCATTTGTTTCTCCCATACTTGAAAGGATAGCTATGCTTCCCATGCGTGAGGATGCTGAAGCTATAGTTTTGGACCAATTGACGGTATGCAACTATGTTTTTCTGCACTTAATTATTATGTCAATTGACAAAGTAAATTTTGTTTTCTTACTTTTATTTTGTGTTGAAATAGAAGAGGATAGCTGCTATATATGGATATTCACCCTATGTCTTAGGTTGAGTTATTGAAGCATGGTATGCATTTAAGACTGAAGATAGACTATTATATTACAGGTTAATGAGTACCCACCTGGGGTGGGCTTGTCCCCACATATAGACACCCATTCTGCTTTTGAAGGATTAATTTTCAGCCTTTCGTTAGCAGGGCCTTGCATTATGGAGTTCAGAAGATATCTTGATGCGGGGTTGACTCCTAGAGCTTCCTCAAGTTCTGATATTGAAATAGAAAGTTCTGAAAACAATTCAAATTTCTTAAGGAGGGCAATCTATCTACCTCCTCGATCTTTGCTACTGTTAACTGGAGAGGCACGCTATGCTTGGAATCATTACATTCCACATCATAAGGTATATTTAATAGTTTGTAATTTAGCATATGTTTGTGTGCTGAGGGCTTGTCTGGTAATTACCTAAACCATTTTATATGCTGCAAGAAGTTGTTAGAACTATTACTCATGATTAATCATATAAGGCACCATCATATCAGAATCACCATCCACCCACAATCAATCTCTCTCTCTCTCTCTCTCTCTCTCTCTCCACGGTGTTGAAACTTTGCTATTATAATTGATTGTGAAGGTTCAATAATTGCTTTGGTTCTTTGACAGATTGACATGGTGAAAGACAGTGTGATCAGAAGAGCCTCGAGAAGAGTGTCTTTCACATTTCGTAAGGTGCATAGTTTTCAATTTTTTTTCTTTTTTTGGTTTATTTTTGGGTGGTACTGTGGAGAATCTAATTTATGTCATATGATATAATCATTTGTCGACGGAATCCTTGAATTTGATTTACAGAAAAACAAAAACTTATGCTTAGAAGATGTAGATGGAAAATTTTCTTAAGTGAAGCAGAACCTGTTCTGAAAACCATTGTAATTGTTCCTAATATGATTTAGTATTTGGAAACTTATGATTCAAAACCCGCGTTATAGAGGAGGTAACGTACACTATTTGAATCAATCATGGTCTGAAAGGGTAAAAGTTGCACTGAAAGTTGCTGAAATGTAGATTTACCTTTGCTGAAATTTCTAGACAGCACTTGTGACATTTCGTCTGTTTTGGATGGTAGCTTAGGAAGTGAATTTAGGGTTTTGTAATG